ACACACACACACACACACACACACACACACACACACACACACACACACACACACACACACACACACACACACACACACACACACACACACACACACACACACACACACACACACACACACACACACACACACACACACACACACACACACACACACACACACACACACACACACACACACACACACACACACACACACACACACACACACACACACACACACACACACACACACACACACACACACACACACACACACACACACACACACACACACACACACACACACACACACACACACACACACACACACACACACACACACACACACACACACACACACACACACACACACACACACACACACACACACACACACACACACACACACACACACACACACACACACACACACACACACACACACACACACACACACACACACACACACACACACACACACACACACACACACACACACACACACACACACACACACACACACACACACACACACACACACACACACACACACACACACACACACACACACACACACACACACACACACACACACACACACACACACACACACACACACACACACACACACACACACACACACACACACACACACACACACACACACACACACACACACACACACACACACACACACACACAGACACACAGACACACAGACACACAGACACACAGACACACAGACACACAGACACACAGACACACAGACACACAGACACACAGACACACAGACACACAGACACACAGACACACAGACACACAGACACACAGACACACAGACACACAGACACACAGACACACAGACACACAGACACACAGACACACAGACACACAGACACACAGACACACAGACACACAGACACACAGACACACAGACACACAGACACACAGACACACAGACACACAGACACACAGACACACAGACACACAGACACACAGACACACACACACACACACACACACACACACACACACACACACACACACACACACACACACACACACACACACACACACACACACACACACACACACACACACACACACACACACACACACACACACACACACACACACACACACACACACACACACACACACACACACACACACACACACACACACACACACACACACACACACACACACACACACACACACACACACACACACACACACACACACACACACACACACACACACACACACACACACACACACACACACACACACACACACACACACACACACACACACACACACACACACACACACACACACACACACACACACACACACACACACACACACACACACACACACACACACACACACACACACACACACACACACACACACACACACACACACACACACACACACACACACACACACACACACACACACACACACACACACACACACACACACACACACACACACACACACACACACACACACACACACACACACACACACACACACACACACACACACACACACACACACACACACACACACACACACACACACACACACACACACACACACACACACACACACACACACACACACACACACACACACACACACACACACACACACACACACACACACACACACACACACACACACACACACACACACACACACACACACACACACACACACACACACACACACACACACACACACACACACACACACACACACACACACACACACACACACACACACACACACACACACACACACACACACACACACACACACACACACACACACACACACACACACACACACACACACACACACACACACACACACACACACACACACACACACACACACACACACACACACACACACACACACACACACACACACACACACACACACACACACACACACACACACACACACACACACACACACACACACACACACACACACACACACACACACACACACACACACACACACACACACACACACACACACACACACACACACACACACACACACACACACACACACACACACACACACACACACACACACACACACACACACACACACACACACACACACACACACACACACACACACACACACACACACACACACACACACACACACACACACACACACACACACACACACACACACACACACACACACACACACACGACATCATCGCGAAAATAGTCAAAACGGATTCAGGGGACCTCAAAACGTAAAAATCCGTCGAAAACTCGAGGTCGAAAAAAATCATGATTCCTATACTTTCCTGTATACAGATAGGAAAGTAAAAATTAGAAACACTATCACGTTACATTTGGAATAGACTAGAAATAGTATCCCGTTGATTCTGAAATGTTCGCGAAAGTACCTCCGCCATAGTCATCACATAGGTTTGGTCTTAAGGGGTTTAATTATGTATAATAATCGGACGAGTTGAGCCTCAAAGGCCAAATAAGACAGAGAGGGACTTGGAGGGTTAGAGCATGACTGAATAATGAAATGGCTCATATAACAATATATAGGGTGGCGCATCCTATACGCGTCGTTCTCTGTAGGGAAAATGACTTAAAATTTGAATTTATTTTTTTAATAGGGATATACAGGGCCATTAACACTAAAGATTTAAAAAAAAATTTGGATTATACAGGGTGACCCAAAAATAGGAATTTAAATCAGTTATTATTTTTTTAAATATATTTGATGGTATCTTTTGATTCCCCAGAAAAAATAAAATAAAGTTGCTGTAATGTTTCCTATACCTATCTTTTTTCGTTTTTGAAATATTTAAACGATTCTTAATTTGTAAGTTTGAACAACATAACCTAGTATGTCGCGGTTTTTTAAAACACATCAAGAGTCACCTGCGATATGCGTAGCCAAGATATTAAGACTATCGAATAAAATGCAAATTTTTTCCATTACATCACACAGGGCGTTCATTTAGTCTAATTGAATTCAACTTACATAATATGGAGTTGAATAATATTCTTATTTTAAATAGCACACCCTGTATTTAATAACTTAAACTTAAATTATCTTTCAATTTATATAAGATTTCCCTATACCTAAATTCAACCCCTATACCTCAATTCAACAGTTTTTTAGTAAATATCTGTTTTTATGTTTACCATAGCTAATTTTTGTAAATACTCTTTTCCGTCAAAGTGACCATTGAATTTAAATGTCAAACGCGAGTTTGACATTTCTATTTAGTAAGTTAGATATCAAATGTACGAAAAATCGAATTTGAAACATAAAAACTTATTCTAAAGAAGAGAGAATTGATATGGTGCTTGTTCTTGGTGAGTGTCATGAAAACTGTTTATTGGCTACTAGTGTTTACGGCTAAAAATACCCAGATCGAGAGAAACCTGACATGACTGATGTAGGAGATCATGATAATCAATTTTGGGTTATTGGCTCACTAATAGAAAACCCACACACAAGTCATCGAGCTATTAGTAGAGAAACTGGAATAAGTAGGAGAAGTATTGGACGAATAATAAAAAAACATAAATTTCATGCTTATAAGATACAGCTACACCAAGAACTGTATCAAAGGGACTTTCAACAAAGAATCGATTTTTGTTTATGGGTTATGGATAAAGTAGAGTCAGATGCGGAATTTTTTGATAATGTTCTGTTTCATTATTATAGTGATGAAAATCTTCACGTCTTTCGTACTCTTGATCATCAACATTGGGGTCCTTGAATGTGTGGGCTCCTTGATAATGTACCTTTAAATACTAGACAGAAAATGTGTATGCAGTTGGATGGAGCCCCCGCACATTTTCAACTTTGAGTACGGCGATACTTAAACCGGCGTTTTGTTAATAATTGGCCTCCAAGATCTCCAGACTTGAAGTTGTTGGATTTTTTTATAGGGACACATACAAAGTATAGTTTATAACACCCCACTAACTACTTCGGAAGATATGAAAGCTAGAATAAGAGCTGCTTTTCAGACAGTAATTGGAGAAATTCTTCTCAAAAAAAACGATCCTTTAAAAAACGAGTTCAGTTGTGTTTAGAACGAGATGGGCTTCACTTTGAACATTTGTTATAATTAATTTTTTGTTTTGTTTTCAATTTGTTTCTTACTCTTTTTCATTTGTGTGTAATTTTCAAATAATTCAAATTTTCTTGTCATGAAATTTTTTTTTATTAAAAAAATTATAGTTTTGGTTTGCATTGAAGCTATATAACATTTAAAAGTGATAAAAATCTTTTTTTCGTTCAGTACCGTATTTTGAGTTACTATGGTTACTATGATTAAAAATTATTATGATAAAATCCGTATGTTAAAAATAAAAAACAGCTATTTACTAAAAATCCATCGAATTTAAGTTTAGGGAAATCTTATATAGAATGAAAGATAATTTAAATGTCTATCAGTTTATGTTATTAAATACAGGGTGTGCCATTTAAAATAGGGATATTATTCAACTCCATATGTAAGTCGAATTAAATTAGACTAAATGAAATGGAAAAATTTGCATTTTATTCGATATTCTAGTCTAATATCTTGGCTACGCATATCGCAGGTGACTGTTGATGTGTTTTAAATAACCGGTAATGTTGTTCAAGCTTACAAATTAAGAATCATTTAAATAATTCAAAAACCAAAAGAGATAGGTATAGGAAACATTACAGAAACTTTACTTTATTTTTTCCGGGAAATCAAAAGACACCATCAAAAAACATAACTTTGATATAAATTCCTATTTTTGGGTAACCCTGTATAATCCAAATTATTTTTAATTTGTAGTGTTAATGGCCTTGTATATGACTATTAAGAAAAAAAATTCAAATTTTAAGTCGTTTTCCCTACAGAGACCGACGCGTATAAGATGCGCCACCCTGTATAAAACTCTCTTTATCTAATCGTTGCTAATTTGTGCATACACTTAAATACTATTTGAAACGATAACTTACCTTTCGATTTATATTCACTATATAAGTCTCTGAAGAAACATTCCATAGTCTTTTTCATTAAAACAACGTCCTTTATGCTTCCAAAGAGGCATATGCCTCCTGGGCCAGGAACTCCTCGCCTCTTCCAATATCCAAGTGTCCATAAGTGATTTGCTGCAAAAATTGCTATTATGGCCACAAAAATGCCCAGTAAATCTAATATGATGTTCTGTGTCAAAAACATTTTACAAAACAGCACAAAAATATTAAAAGGATAAAGTTATATCTGAAAAATAATTTCAGTCACATTGAAAACACACGTCCTGCAATTATTTAAATGCATCTTATCAAATTTTATTTTATTTTCAAATAAGATAAGTGTATAAGCAGAATCGGTTTCAGAAAATATTTTTAAAGCAACAAATGGAAATATTTAAAAATTCCTACTGTTAAGTAAATCCAATTGTATGTAGTAATTAAAAAAAAAAATTAAAAAACAGCTAATTAGTAAATTTCTTAAAACCAGTCTTAAACGCGCATTTAATTTTCGTCTGTTTAAGTCTTGGCTAACGCCCTCAGTATTAAATGGTTTTAAAAAATATACTAAAAGTTTAACATTATGTTCATAGATTACGCTAGTATATCTATTTCGATAAATTAAATCGAATATAGTGTTCCAAGTAAAAAATCTTAATGATTATGCGTATCCTTAAAACACTAATAATTTGGCCGGTTGCATCGACAATCTGTGAATTTGAATTTCTAGAGAATTTTGGTATTGTATTGGTATTATTGAGACGGTGTTGTCAAGTATAATTATTTATAAGGTCAGTAAAATTCTGCAAACATCAAATAATAAAATTACATATTATAAAAAAAATGTTGTTTTTTTATAATGAATTACGTATAACTTGTTATACTCAGCTTCCGTCTAAGGACATATTCTTATTTGAACCGGCAACATTGCTATATACAGCTTGGTCAAAGCGGTCAAAGGTCAACTGGAAGAAGAGAGATTTCGTTTAAAAAACGTTGCTCTGAAATTTGAAACAACTACAACATAGCAGTGTTGTCGTTAGGCTGGAAACATCCCGCTTAGACTGAAATTTTGTTTGTTTAATGTATATACTATTTTTAAAGAATTTTGGTTTTTCACTGTCCACCCTTATTGGCTCACACAATAAAATCTGGCTGACAATTTTGTGAAATAATCATGTTCTTCTTTTCTTTTTTAATATTTTATTCTATTTACTAGATCACTTAGTGATGGCAGGTAATAAAAAATAATGAATATATAAGTTTTTATTGTAGCCATTTGCCGTATGCCATCTGCTAATAAAGATATTTTTAATTGTCCCTTATATTATATTATACAATATTATATTATCATTCTGCAATCTGAAAATACATAGAACTGTTTCATCTGGTATCTCAGCATTATTTTCTTCGCGACTCCTCTCCGGATTACGCTCTAACGCTTTCGCCAAAATATTATCAGAACCCTTGCAATAACTAATTTCAAACATAGTCCATCTTGATAAGCGTGCAGTCAACAACCGGTACGACATTAAAAATAAAAGGGCCTTATGGTTGCTTTTAATCGTCAAGGGCGGTCCTAATACAAACACTCGCCATTTGCGCAACGCAAAAACGATGGGAGCTGCTTCTTTTTCTGTTACTGTATATTGCGTTTCAGCTCCTTGAAGAGTTCAACTTGCAAAAGCAATTGTATTTTTTTCTTCAGTTTTATCATACAATTAAAATAGACAGGCACCTATAGCGTAGCTCGACGAATCAGTTTCAATATAATACCTTTTATTCACATCGAAATGTTTTAAAGTACAAGCTTTTATAAAAGGACCTTTAACATGGACAAAGGCTTCCACCTTTTCAACCCCCCCCCCCATTTCCATATTTGTGGTTTTCTTAGCAGTTTAACTAAAGACACCGTTAATTCAGAGTAGTATTCGCAAAATCGGGAATCATAATTGACCACTCGCAAAAAGGATTTTAAGTCCTTAATATTTCGGGGACTAGGGAAATTCCTAATAACCTCGAATCGTTTTAGATCAATAATATTACCATTGTCTGATAAAACGTTGCCGAGGAAAATAACTTCTTTCTTGGCAAAAAGGCATTTTTTCAGTTTAATAGTAGTTCCAGCGCTCCTAAACCTTTCAAAAATTATCCTTAAATGTCTAATGTGCATTTCCGGAGATTCGGAATAAAAGATCAAATCATCAACACAAACCGTGGACTAATTTTCAGTATCGCTCCCTAAAACGGTAAACAACCCCCTAATGAAACTTCCCACCGATGTGGACAACCCAAATGGTAGCCGTTGAAAAACAAACGTTCTCTCCTCGTATAAGAACCCTGTATATATCTGATGACCCAATTTTATTGGAATTTATCAGTAACTGGCAGTTAAGTCGATTGTCGATAGTACCTGTCCTTTTGGAAACTGTACACAATCTCATTGGGGTTAAGTGGCATCACATGGTCTTTTGACCTCCTGCTACTCAAAAATCGCGCATCTATACAAACCTGAACTAATCCATTTTTTTTAACACTAACCAATGGGCTAACAAACTCCGTCCTTTCAGCATGAATAACCCCCCAATTCTCCATTTATTTAATCTGAGCCCTCACTTCCTATTTGTACGCGTGGTGTATCGGATAAGATTTTACGAAAAATGGCGATTCGTCCCGCATTTTAATTTCATGTTGATAATAATTAATCACACCCGCCTGGTCTGAAAATACGTCTTTAAACCCCCATAATAACTCATTCAAATCATTTTTCTTCGCTCAAAATGGTCTTCTTATAGTCAATAACTTTTATTCAAGTTATCGAGTCTATCAGATAGATCTTCTCTGTTGACTTTCGTTGTCCAAATCCTTGCTTTTTACAAAACAAGTTATACGTTATTTTTAAAATTGCAGCTAAATATGTTTTTAAATTAGCGTCTGAGCTGTAATTTCTTAATAGAAAGAAATCGACTGGTCAAATGAGTGATAGAAGGGGGTTGCCTAGGAAGAAAAGAGAACCCTTCTGATTGGCCCTCGTAAAAAAAAGCTCAAAAGTCGAATTCCAGTCGAGAATATTGAATTAAGGAAATAACAGCAAGCCATGGAGACAACAGAAATTCATCAGATCTTTAAGGAGATTAATGCTGAAATTTTTTAAATTAAGAAATTGTTACTATTTAGAAAAACCTTGGGAAAGACTGTATATTTAATCACGTCAAATTTTAATCATTTTATGCATACAGGATTGCCGCAAAACATTTTTGAATGTACATAACCTAAAATGCTTTTTTAAAAGCTTCAACTGGAACACCCTAGATTTTTTAACTGTGTTTTACACAGGTACCCAAAGTTATTTAAAAGATAAGTCTATGTAACTTAAATATAAGGACCTTTTTGTAGTTATTCTTAAAACAATTTTTATCATATTATTTAACAAAAATTAATTAAAATTTTGTAAAAAAAGACTAACCTTAAAGCTGGGTAATAAAAAAGGTAAAAAAATACAAAAAATCTAGTATTTAATTTTATATTATAAAAGTAACAACTATATAAGTAATTAGTTATTTTTTTTTAGTATATTTAATTTTATTTTCCAGTAAGTACCTACTTATTTCAACTTCTACCTAATGATTTCTTATAGGAGCTATTTAAACTGACAAGTTTTCTAAATTCATCCAAATTTCTTCCTCAGTTTTCAGCAATGGCGATAATTTACTAAATTTAAGCGGTAATTTTGTATTTTCGCTAAGAGAAATATTGAAATTTTGTATTATGGTTATCAGTCCAATTTTCACTTGCTGCATTCCAAATCGCATACCTGAAATGATATAAATAATTATTTTATTTAAGCATTACATTCTAACGCCAAAAATACATCACGAAATAAATGAAATGATGTTGATACAAAATGCTCTTTACAGTTTAACAGACCCCTTACAAAGATTTTGGAGACGGGTAGCATTCCTAGTAAAACAATGGGAAGGAATAGAAAGTTCCAGAAAAGTGCAACTAAAAACTAAAAAGGAAAAAGTACAAGAGTTCATCGGTAAATTGCGTAAATTGCGTAACAAAGAAAGTCATTACAACAGAAAAAATCTAAACGTACACACCTTTCAGCAAATCTTTCAGTGAAAAAATTGTATATCGAAAAATGTGCGCCCAACGACCTGGTCTCTTATGATATGTTTAGATATGTCTTCATACATGATTTTAATATTTGATTCTCATCCCCTGCCTCCTATGTGTGCTCCAAGTGTACGAAAGAGCAGTTAAAACAAAGCAATGATCCAGAAAAGAAAAACAATATTATACTGGAATACCGCATGCACAAAAAATAGCCAATACTTTCTATGAACTTTGCCGTGAAAATCCAGAAAACAGTATTACTTTTTGTTTTGACCTTCAACAGGTTCAGCCTCTTCCCCGTACACCTATTGGAGATGCCTTCTATGCTCACCAAATTCGCCTGTATTCCTTTTGCTGCGTGCTCATGACTTTAACAGATCCAACATTTTATATTTGGACGAAAGACTTAGCTGGAAGAGGAGCTTCTCAAATTAGCTCAGCATTGTTGCATCGTCTTGTAGCTTTAAATTGTGAAAATATAAACCTTATCAGATTAATCTGCGATGGATGTGGAGACCAAAATAAAAATTCGCATATCATTCAATATTTAATTTACTGGCTAAAACACAAGTGTACAGAAAATTATCATAACATATCCAGTTCGAGGACATAGTTTTCTTCCGGCGGTTCGAGCTTTTAGACGGGTGGAAAAGATTTTAAGAGCAAATCCCGTCATAATATTTAAAGAAAAATACAATAAAATTTACTCAGAAGTAAGTTCGGTAAAAACTCTTGGCACTGATTGGCAAATTTTCAATGTAAAAGAACTAGAAAAAGTGTTTGAAAAAATAAAAGGAATTTTGGATTGTAAAAAATACATATTAAAAAGTTTATTGATAACAAGAAAGAAAAAACTATTAAAGTGATTACACACCAATATTACAGGTATGTTTCACCTGCCATTACCTGGGAATCTCTTCTTTAAAAAGGGAAATCTGACAATGACATAGACCTAAGCAGACAACCATTGGGCAATTCGATACCGGATAAAAAGAAAAACACCTTAAAGCAAATCATAAAAGAACATTTTGGCAAAGAATGGGAAAGTAGGAAAGACCTTTTCTGGTACAAAAACTTATTGGAATGCATAGACGCAACCACCATAGAGAAAGATGTAACTGGAGAAGTTGTTAACAAAATGTGTGTTTACTTGAAAAAGGACCACGCACTTTTCTTATACAAACGGGAGTACCGTCAAAATGTCTGAATTTTGATATGTTAAATAACTTGTCCCCATCAAAAGTGTCCATGGGCCCAATCGTATCCTATGACTAGATTTTGAGATACAGGGTGTTGAAGTTAGAAATCCGTAGTTCTTTAAAATGGACACCATAAATCACCCTTAAATATTTTTGGAAGTTTTTTGCTTATTCTGTGTAGTCAAAATACATACTACTATAATTAAAATATTGTACCTTACAGGGTGATTAATGATTCGGCAAATCTTTTTTGGTCAAAGTAGGTATTCCCACCGAACAAAAATAGCTAAAATACCGAGAAAAAAAATATCACCGTCGAAGTTTCTCAATATTTTATATCGTATAGTACTCGATGTACTCGTTCAAAATTATTTTTAGTAAAATTAGATCCTATGGTTAGTTTTCCAAATATACCTTAATATTTACCAAATATATGAATTTTAAACAATAAATATATACTGAGATAAGTAGATATTTTCAAGAGAAATATCTTATATTAAATATTTTGACATACTGTTTTAGATTAAGAATATACCCCTTGTACTATTTGCAAAGGGAAAAAAATTCGTACTTACGCGGTTGAATATGTAAGTTAAATCAACAAAATGTTAAAATTGTTGCCAAAAAATAGAAAATAATTATTGTTCATCAAAAAAATAGTATAACATATACAAGGTCATACTTTATTTCGGTACAAAAAGTTGATTATATGGTATGTCTCAGTAGGATGTGCAGAAATGATTTATGATCGGATTACAGGTTTATTTGGCTCGAGTATTGTCATAAGTGCCTCTTTGTATTGTATATTTAAATAAGATTATGAGCTCCATTCACGCCACCAATGAGGTAAAGCCCCCAATACATTTTTTTTTTAAGTCGCATCCCTTGAAGGATGGTTACAGTTGAACTTGCAAGGTGGAAAAATCAACAATATATAAAATTATTGCCAAATATTAGAAAATAAATTGCTTGTGAGTTCTTTATTGAAAAAGATTATAAATATACATACATTAATATTTTAAATAGCCAATACTAAACTTTGTCAAACTGACATAGTTTTTGGAATAACTAGAAATTAAAAACATTTAATGGAGCCTCAGAATGAAGTAGTCAGTAAGCAGAAAAATCTGGGAAATTATCCATTTCTTAACTACTGTTTCATTGCGAGTTTTCTTCTAGGAAATCCATTGAGTAATAGTTATGCACACAATGAAGTATAAATGTCATATCTACTTATTGGTACTCATTCATATAAGAAATGGTATTTTCATGTTATTGGTTTCAAATATTTAGCATAAGTCGAGCAGACATATTATTGTAATTTAATTTTCACGAAACATTTGTTGATATTTTTATAGTTTACGGCTTACCTGTTCCTCTCTTGATTTTTCATGGGCTTCTCAAAACAATATGATATGAATATAGGGTAATAAAATAATCGTAATTTTCGAATAACCTGCATATTTTTATATTTTCATTATGCAAAGGCATGCAAGTCGTTTTGTTAAGTACTTAATGATTTAAACTTGGAAATATAGATAATCTTTAACATCGTGTAACTCCGTAATTTTTTACTTCAGACGTTAAGCTTGTTGTAATCGACACAACCAAGGCATTTTAAATCGACTTGGGTCTGATACCGTGTTAAGAATCACCCTGTATACTCGTAATGATAAAATATAAAGCTAAAGACTCTGCATGCCTGAAATTTTTCTTTTTTATATCTACTATGATAATAAATAATTTTTCCGAAGATTTTCACAAAAATTGATTACCCTGTATATTTTGTAACCTATAAGTTTTAGACGATTTTGTTTTCAGTATTTTAGCTATTTTTGTTCGGTGGGAATACCTACTTTGACCAAAAAAGATTTTCCGAATCATTATTCACCCTGTAAGGTACAATATTTTAATTAAAGTAGTTAAGTATGTATTTTGACTACACAGAATGAGCAAAAAACTTAAGCGTGATTTATGGTGTCCATTTTAAAGAATTAGGGATTTCTTACTTCAACACCCTGTATCTCAAAATATAGTCATAGGATACGATTGGGCCCATGGACACTTTTGATGGGGACAAGTTATTTAACATATCAAAAATTCAGACATTTTGACGGTACTCCCGTTTGCATAAGAAAAGTGCATGATCCTTTGCCACACACCTCTAATATTTTTTTGGGAAAGAAATATTTTTTTTTAATCTTGAGAAAGTAAAAGTTATTTTTAGTGATTTTTAATTTTGCTTGCAATTTTTTCAATAAACAAGTAATATTTTTTTGGCTAATTTCTCAAAATTATTTTATTTTTCTCTGAAAAAACAGTCAATGGCTCTTTTTGTTAAACTATTTCAAACAAAATTCCCTTCACAGAATCTCACTTTTTTTTCAAGTACAAAATATGAAGCATTTTTTTCCTTTCCTGAAAGTTTTATAAAAATGAATATAACTGGTTTTGAACGCGAACTCCTCATATAATAAAAATGTATCTTAACTAAAGTCACTTATGTGAAAACTAGAACTACAGTATTTGTTACATTACAAAACTTTTTAACTGCAATTTTATTTACTAATATTTAAAATAAAGTTATTTGGGCGTCAAATTAGACATGGTAGATATAGAATGGAAAAAGAAGTTATATATTTGGAAAATAAACTTTTTTGGAAAATGCATGAGAAGTAAGTAGTAAACAAGTCCACAAAAGTCTAATTACTACGAGAGCTAATTTCTTAAAATTACAAAGACTAGCCTGTGTTTGCATTACCAGTGTCAAGAAAACCTGTCCGCAAAGAAGGTAATTTACATTTGATGGCACAGAATGGGACAAAAAGGACAAAATATAAAACCAAAATAAAGTATAGTAGCACCAGGACTTCAGATGCTTGAGATATGTCAAGGACGAAATAAGAAAAAAATTATGTTTTGTGATAAACTTCAAAACCATAGAGCTCTACTGCACGAAACAGCAAGTGCGAGAAAAGAGCCAAGAATCCATCGTGTTGGCAATCGAAAGGCATGTAATTCAATGGTATACGGATGGTTCTGAAATCACAGAAGGAATTGGAACAGGAGTGTGCTGGCCAAAAACCAAGTAGGTACTCTGAAAATTTGGATAAATACCCAAGTATCTTTCTGGTGGAAATCTACGCCAATGAGAAGTGTATTCAATTCAATATCTAGAGAACTATCGCATACAAGATATTATCATGTCCTATAGCTATAAAAACAGTACATAATCAGCTAGAAAAACTGAATGAGCTAGGCAAAGAAAGTACAGTTACTCCCACTTGGGTCCATGAACATAACGGGGTGGAGGATAACGAGATTGCGGATAGTCTTGCAAGACTCAAACAAGCTTTGTGAGACTTGAGTCATTTGATGTCAGCAGTAACAAATTATTAGGAGAGTTTACAAAATAATAACAGGACTAAAGGAGACTCAAAAAAAAATATATACCTTTTTGAGCTTGTGTGATTATTGGGAAGTTCATAGTATTAGAGCAGAGCATAGTGAAAGCCAAAAAAATCCCAATGGGATTATCCTAGTTACCTACCCCGGTTTTAGAAATTAAAATAAGACTGTAGGCTAGTCGCAGCCTACAGTCAAACAAAAATAAACAAACTAAATTACCTATACAAATACGGGGTCCATCTCCAAAAGGCAACCACGTAGATGTCGGTCTTTTTTTCTTATTTTCAGCACTAAACCTATCTGGATCAAATTTATCTGGATTTGGATAATATTCAGGATCATGTTGGATACCTCTAATAGAAACCATCAATAACGTGCCTTTTTTAATTTCTAAATCTTCTCCAGGTATCTTGTAATTTTTGGTGCATCTTCTCATCAAAACTGGGATTGGTGGATATTTCCGTAATGTTTCTACAAAAATATAAAGATTTAAACATAATATTATTTAAAAACGTATTCGGCATATTATTACTTTGTAGCACAACTTTATATTTCTGAGTTAGTTTAATTAGTATTTATAATTATCAATATGCAAAACTATTACTTTTTCATTTTCAACAGAATAATCATATAACAAAAATGTTAGTTGATTCAATTCATTTGATAGTGGGCTCATTATTAAAATTAATTTCGGGAATAGGTATCTTAGTTTAATATCCACTGTCCCCTGATAATGCAAATCCAATCCTAAAAGGAGCCTGCAATATTATATATCCAAAACATAAAGGAGGAAAAATTTAACCACTTTGGATATACCCAATACCCATCTTGATTGTTTATTCAAAAGAAGAAATTAAGATAATTACCTATTAATCAGATAACAGAGGCAGCCGTATAAAAAAACATTTTGGAAAGTTGAACAAGTTGCGTACATCACCAGAAAAACCAGTTAACCAGGATTTGGAAAATTTTTATTATTTTTTAATGGTTTTGAATAAAATTATTTCTGAATAGAAAACTAAAAATTTATATCTTCTTGAGTCACTTTTTAGTTAAAAAAAACTAGTTGCATTATTTGAGATACCTACTTACCACAAACAACTTGATCTAAATATTCCATTTCTTGTACAGCTTCATAAGTAACCTCATTGTTGTGTTTACTGAGAACCCTGCTTATCTCATCTCTAACTCTTTTCTGAACGTATTGATTCTGAGCTATTTCAAAAGTTGCAAAAGTTAGTGTAGTAGACGAAGTCTCAAATCCAGCTAAATAAAATATAAAACACTGTCCTATAATTTCATTAGTAGACAGTTTGTTCTCTTCATTGGTACTATTTTTCATTTTAATCAAAAGATCCATGAAATCACTTCTAGTTATATTATTGTCTTCCCTATACTGTATGGTTGATAATACTGTTTCTTGATAGAAATCTGATGCTTTGGGGTCTAGCGGTCTAAAATTGAAGGCTCTTAAAATGCTATGGGGTATGAATAATGGAACTGCCAATCTCATTCCGTTTCTTAAATTAGGTGTTATTATTCTATCGCCATATATCCGAAAATCAATCTCGGGGTTTTGCAAACTGTCAGTGTCTACTCCAAATGCGCAGTTGCCTAAAAAAAATGATACAGAAACGGAAAATATTAAATTTAATTAAACAGTTACATGAGAAAAGGTTACATATAAATATAAATTTTGCCTTAAGACAAAAATATGATGGTATACAATAAATAAATTTGGAGAAGAGATTGGGGTGGACAGATGACCTGATAAAACAAGTTGGACCAAGATAAATATGAGAAGAAGAAAGGAGAATCATATAACGTACGAATAGAGGTTAATGGTTGGATAGTTATATTATATGATGAAGAATAAGATGGATACAAATAGCCCGGGCTAGATGAAAAGAAGAAAGAAACGAAAGCATAATACGTGCAATATGAGTAGAATATTGGATTTATATGTAGTAAAAATATTTATTATTTGTTCGACAGATATATAATTAAGTTAACAATACTTTAAGTTTCCCAAAACAACCAAACTTTATTTATTAAAAAATGTACAAAAATGTATCTTTAATAATAGTCCAGTAACTGAAGGGACCAACCTGTCATTAAGTCGGTCCAGATTTCCGTTGTGGCTTAACTCTTAGGTCTCGGCGGTCGCTTTCAAGGTCAAACACTTTCACCAACTCTGCTGCGTCGGAAAGGGCCCAAAATGGACCCTAAAACTGGTTTCCCGCCAATATCTTCCACAATATGCAAATTAGAGAGTTTTTGTTTAAATAAAAAATAAAGATCTTATCATTATCTAAAAAAATGGTCCCTATCATTTTTGTCGAGAATTCGACAGGTTTCGAGATAACCGCAATCAAAAGTCCCGTCTTTCAGCCACTGCTTTATCTCTATAGCAATGCTGATTAGCTTGTAAACGGGTGGACAAATTGTTTCAGAACTCGGTCAAAAATTGATGATTAAAAGTTCATTACAATGGGAAAACCCATAGGAATCGATCAATGTGCCTTGAAGCCCGTTATTTCCTGTCAAGAACATTGAAAAAGGGGCCAAAGTTGCGTTTTCCCACTATTTTGGACCACTTTATAGTAATTCATTCTTATTTTTTTTTCTTAAATAGTTTTTTATCCCATTTTTGTTTTAGATGGGATCTTGAGATGTCTAGAATGATCTCAGAAATTTTTTTCCAGTATATTCCTGGTTTTTTAAAACAAAATTGATTTGTTTATTTGCATTTTTCATACGTTTTTGGAGTACTAGAAATCTTTGAAACAAGCAGTAATTAAAAACTCATATTTCATTATATTGTTATTCAATGCACACCAATTTAAAGCTTAGAGTATCTACTTTTCGAATGTATTTTTTTTTGTTAATAAAGTTGCTCCATTTTTCAGAAATCGGGAAAATTAATCACACCGGGGAAAACCGGACTTTTTTTTAATACTTCTTGTTCCCCGCTGTTCATTTTTTGAACATTAATACCCAGACCGAAGTGAAGCTGATATTCTCACCTTTCCATTTCTATCAATTGATCCCCGTATGTGAGCGTGGTTCTTAACTGTTTGTTAGAATTATCTCCCCCATTTTTACGCTCTCCGCCTGAGATCCATGATATTCCATCGTAACCTAACCACGTGTACCCACGCGCCACGCGCTCACCTTAATCGTCTGCTTTTATTGGTATACAATTTCTGTTGTTTTTGAAGTCGTTATTGTCGGTTGTGATATATTTCTTTCTTATATTTAAAGAAAATTCACGATTTTGGGTTCGAGTAGTACAATAATAAACAATGATTACTTTTCTTTTCTATATTTAACACAAATGAGTTAAAGTGAATATACAGGGTTGGCCAAACCTCTGTCGTAGTTCTATAACTCCTATTATGCAAATCTTAACGATTTATTCAAAGTATACCTGTCAATGGTGGTCAAAACCAAATATCCCAAAATTATTTTCTTGTGTACAGGGTGGCCCAATAGTAAATTAGGCAAATCACTTATTTTTTTTTTTAAATGGAATGACCCAACTTTTTTTCCAATTTTAGGTACTCTATGGTCACTAGTGCATACCCACAAAATATTGTTTCTAACATCCTACCCCTTTCGCAGAAAAAGAAGGAATACGAAAAAATATTACATTTTCAGACGCCTATTAAAATATGCAGTGCTCTCTCGAATTTGACGTTAGAATTTCAAAAACTACAATTTTATAAAGCCAATAGACCAAAGATTTTTTTAGATCACGTTTTAATTTTTATTTTGTACAGGGTGGTCACAAATTAATTTCAATTTCCAAAAATTTCTAGGACATTTTTTTCAAATTTTTCAAATAGAACACCCTGTATTACTACTATTCATCGATGAAACGAGAATTTTATACCCTTCGCCTTCCCCATGTACTTTCCTATACCTATCTGTCGTCGTTTAAAAGTAAATTCCAAAAAGACATTGGTCTATCAAAAATCCAATTTCTACCAGTGGTTTTATTGAAAGTGAACATTCAATCAAGTAGGCTGGGTCTTAATGAAGTGTCAGATTATTTATTAATGAAGTGTCAAGTTATTTTTACTGATCGCGATAATTCTTCTATTAATAATGAATTTTACGAAAAACGAATTAATTGACATGGTCTATGTTTTGGGAGAATCCGACAGAAATTGTTTATTGGCAAAAAGAATTTATCATCAACGATATCCCGATAGACGCATCCCTGATCAAAAAAGTTTTGAAAAGTTACATGAAAGATTTACCGAAACAGGAAATGTTGATTATAAAAAACCAATAATTGACAAACGTGCTACTGATAATGATAACCAATTATCTGTAATTTTGACAGCGATAGAAGATCCTCATGTAAGTCAAAAAAAGATTGCCGAAGTAGTAGGTATAAGTAGAACATCCGTTAGAAGGATTTTAAAATAGCATCAATATCATCCTTATAAAATACAATTGCATCAAGAGCTGAAAGACACCGATTTTGATAATAGAATGGTGTTTTGTAACTGGGCACAAACTAAACTGCATCAAAATCCATTTTTTTTTTTATAGAGTGCTGTTTTCTGATGAATCTACATTCCACAAGAACGGATTCGTTAATAGACATAATTTCCACTATTATTCCACGGAAAATCCTAACATCATCAGAACACATAGCCAAGAAAGATGGAGTGTAAATGTTTGGGGAGGTATAATTGGGGATCATGTTATTGGGCCGTATTTTTTTGAAGGCAACTTAAATGGTCTGATGTATTTAGATTTTTGAGCAAATCATCTTCCTACTTTACTTAAAAACATTTCCCTTGCTGTAAGACTAACAATGTGGTACCAACATGATGGGGCAGCAGCGCATTTTTTACGCGAAGTGGCAGATGAATTAGATGAAAAGTTTCCAAATAGATGGATTGGTAGAAATGGTCCAAAAAAATGGCCAGCTCGATCACCTGACTTAACAAAACCCGATTATTTTTTGTGGGGTTATATTAAAAATCTAGTCTATCTTACACCACCTACAACACCTGAAAATATGAAAGAAAGGATAGTGCAAGCTTTCCATTCCATTACAACTGATATGCTTAGTAACGTTTCTCGATCATTCGCCCAACGAATAAATGTATGCATTAGAGAAAATGGCAGACATTTTGAGCATCTTTTATAAAATGTAAATTTATGTTTTAGGATAAATTTCAAATAAATTTTATTATCGTAATTTTCTTCCTTTTGAATTTATTTTATAACGGCGACAGATAGGTATAGGAAAGTACATAGGGAAGTGGAAGGATATGAAATTGTCCTTCAGTTGATGAATAGAAATACAGGGTAATACATTTGAAAAATTTTAAAAAATTTCCCTCGAAATTTTTGGAAAGTGAAATTAATTTGTGACCACCCTGTACAAAATAAAAAATTCAAACTTGGTCCAAAAAAATCTTTGGTCTATTGGCTTTATACAATCGTAGTTTTTTAAATTCTAACATCAAATTCGAGAGAGCATTGCATATTTTAATAGGCGTCTGAAAATGTAATATTTTTTGGTAATTTTTTTTTCTGCGAAAGGGGTGGGATGTTAGAAACAATATTTTGTGGGTATGTACTAGTGACCATAGAGTACCTTAAATTGTAAAAAAAGTTGGGTCATTCCATTTAAAAAAAATTAAGTGATTTGCCTAATTTACTATTGGGCCACCCTGTACACAAGAAAATAATTTTGGGATATTTGGTATTGGCCACCATTGACAGGTATACATCAAATAAATCGTTAAGATTTGCATAGTAGGAGTTATAGAACTACGACAGAGGTTTGGCCAACCCTATATATCGAAAATTTGGGGTTGAGGTAAGTCTTTTGTTGCTATATCTATTATATAATTATTTCTACTAATGTTATTCTTTTTTTTAGGTTGAAACAAAAAAATAAAATAGAAAGCCCTTTAGATACAGAGCTTTCAGCGGCACTTCTAGAAGATTTGCTTTACAAAGTGAGTGTAAATTACCGGAAAAATTAATAAAATTAAATGTAAAAGGGATCCGGCCTCCCCGGAACTCTTGAAGATGATTTTTTGTCAGTGCAAGACAGGCTGCGAAAAGAATTGTTCATGTTTGAAAGCCGGACTGAAATGCTCGCATGTCTGTGGTTCGTGTTAGTCGACACAGTGTTTTAATTATAACAAAAATGAAGGTATTTTCCCGGAAGAATTAGAGATGGATCGAGACCCAGAAGGGGTTGAAGGGAAGGAGGATGAAATAGCTGTCGAGACAGCAACACAGGGGTTGGAAAAACAGGGGGAAGGGACGCGTGGAGAAGGGAAAGGAATAGAGTAAGAGCAAGATGATGAAGAGTATAATTCTGATGACATTGAATGGTTTAACGTATGACAAATTATAAGCATTCCTATGTATTTCGTATTTTCAACATGTTTTTCATAATAAAAGAAATTTTTTAGAAACTTTCTTATTTTCCTGAAATCCTGGACCTATATTGTTCCGATAGAAGTTGGCGAAAATTTTGCAAAAGACGCAGAAAATATAAAGGATCTTCTCGGGTCAATATTCATCACCTCTAAAACTAGTAACCCACTATTAGGCAAAGCGCCCGGATTTGAGACTGTCACATGAAAAAAAAATTTTTTTGCACTTTTCTATTAAATTTTGCAACACAAATTACACAGAACATTCCGCAATATAGACGAGATACCCCAAGCGCTTTACAGAAAAAAATCCCGTAGAATACGCCAATAATTGTCGAAAGATCGATTGGTGCCCGAATTTCCATTCATAGGCCCCATAATTTAGTGAGCAGAGTATAGGTATTCTCTATAACCAAAATAACTATATAATTAAAAATTCTCTTTTAAAATTCTTTTATTAAAAGGCCAAGAACACGTAACTTCGAAAAAATAGAAAAATAAAAATAATTTGTTGATAGTTTCTTGTCTCTTGCTGTTCTGTTCTTTCTTTTTTTTTTCCCAAGCTGTCCACCACACACTCCATTGTTTTTCCACCTACTACACCACAAATAAAAAACAGATGTGACTTCCAATGTCATCAACTTTGAAGTTCTATGACATTGGCAGGAAACAGGATTGAGTCTCATGCCACCACGAAACATTCTAAAGTGCCATTCACATAACAAAAATAAAACGTCGAAATGACAAAGTGGAGATGACTGGTTTAAGGTTATAACATTTATCTATCAACGTAATTATGACAGAGAGAAGAGTAATATGTAGTACGAAGCACTACAATACTTCCCCTCTTAAAAAAAAAAAAAAAATAACATATAAATTATGAAACAACTAAAAATAATGAACTATTGAATTTAATGCAAATGTAACTTTCTTAACTTCTTTTATAGATTCATTATTATCCGATAATAAAAATGCAGGTTTTAACTGATCAATATTGATAACTAATTCGTTATTATTTTTTAAAATTGTAAAAAGTTTATTAGATCTACGAATAACTTTAAAAGGACCTTCGTAGCAAGGTTTTAAAGCGGCTTTAATGCCTTGAACTTTTAAGAAAACGTATTCTGCGTTTTCTAATTCTGGAGAAACGAATGTTTTCCTTATACCGTCTTCCTGAACTGGAGCTGGTCTTAATTTGTTGAAATTTTCTCTCAAATTAATTAATATTGAATGAGTATCTATCTCTTCATTATAAGACGTGAAAAATTCACCAGGCAAACGTAAAGTTTGGCCGTATACCAATTCTGCAGAAGAACATTGTAAGTCCTCTTTTATAGCAGATCTTAGCCCTAATAATATTAAAGGTAATTCATCATACCAATTATTCGAAATTAATTTTGCTGATAACGATGCCTTTAGTGTTCTATGAAAACGTTCTATCATCCCATTGGCTTGAGGATGGTAAGTAGTTGTATGGATACTTTGAAATCCTAACCTTTTACTAAAATCTTTGAACATACTAGATTCAAATTGACTGCCTTGGTCATGAGTAATATACACTGGTACACCAAATCGTGTTATATACTGATTTAATAAAACTTTGATTACTGATTCTGAACTGATGTTCTTAAGTGGATAAACTTCTACCCATCTAGTACATCTATCAATAACAGTAAATAAATAATTATGACCTCTTGAAGATTTCAAAGGACCCACTAAGTCTACGTGGATATGTTGGAATCTTCCTTCTGGAATTTTAAAATTTCCTAGAGGTGATTTTGTGTGTCTAAGCACTTTCGCCTTTATATAGGTATTCTCTGTAACCAAAATAACTATATAATTAAAAATTCTCTTTTAAAATTCTTTTATTAAAAGGCCAAGAACACGTAACTTCGAAAAAATAGAAAAATAAAAATAATTTGTTGATAGTTTCTTGTCTCTTGCTGTTCTGTTCTTTCTTTTTTTTTTCCCAAGCTGTCCACCACACACTCCATTGTTTTTCCACCTACTACACCACAAATCAAAAACAGATGTGACTTCCAATGTCATCAACTTTGAAGTTCTATGACATTGGCAGGAAACAGGATTGAGTCTCATGCCACCACGAAACATTCTAAAGTGCCATTCACATAACAAAAATAAAACGTCGAAATGACAAAGTGGAGATGACTGGTTTAAGGTTATAACATTTATCTATCAACGTAATTATGACAGAGAGAAGAGTAATATGTAGTACGAAGCACTACAATACTTCCCCTCTTTAAAAAAAAAAATAACATATAAATTATGAAACAACTAAAAATAATGAACTATTGAATTTAATGCAAATGTAACTTTCTTAACTTCTTTTATAGATTCATTATTATCCGATAATAAAAATGCAGGTTTTAACTGATCAATATTGATAACTAATTCGTTATTATTTTTTAAAATTGTAAAAAGTTTATCAGATCTACGAATAACTTTAAAAGGACCTTCGTAGCAAGGTTTTAAAGCGGCTTTAATGCCTTGAACTTTTAAGAAAACTTATTCTGCGTTTTCTAATTCTGGAGAAACGAATGTTTTCCTTATACCATGTTCCTGAACTTGAGCTGGTCTTAATTTGTTGAAATTTTCTCTCAAATTAATTAATATTGAATGAGTATCTATCTCTTCATTTGAAGACGTGAAAAATTCACCAGGCAAACGTAAAGTTTTGCCGTATACCAATTCTGCAGAAGAACATTGTAAGTCCTCTTTTATAGCAGATCTTAGCCCTAATAATATTAAAGGTAATTCATCATACCAATTATTCGAAATTAATTTTGCTGATAACGATGCCTTTAGTGTTCTATGAAAACGTTCTATCATCCCATTGGCTTGAGGATGGTAAGTAGTTGTATGGATACTTTGAAATCCTAACCTTTTACTAAAATCTTTGAACATACTAGATTCAAATTGACTGCCTTGGTCATGAGTAATATACACTGGTACACCAAAGCGTGTTATATACTGATTTAATAAAACTTTGATTACTGATTCTGAACTGATGTTCTTAAGTGGATAAACTTCTACCCATCTAGTACATCTATTAATAACAGTAAATAAATAATTATGACCTCTTGAAGATTTCAAAGGACCCACTAAGTCTACGTGGATATGTTGGAATCTTCCTTCTGGAATTTTAAAATTTCCTAGAGGTGATTTTGTGTGTCTAAGCACTTTCGCCTTTATATAGGTATTCTCTGTAACCAAAATAACTATATAATTAAAAATTCTCTTTTAAAATTATTTTATTAAAAGGCCAAGAACACGTAACTTCGAAAAAATAGAAAAATAAAAATAATTTGTTGATAGTTTCTTGTCTCTTGCTGTTCTGTTCTTTCTTTTTTTTTCCCAAGCTGTCCACCACACACTCCATTGTTTTTCCAATGTCATCAACTTTGAAGTTCTATGACATTGGCAGGAAACATTCTAAAGTGCCATTCACATAACAAAAATAAAACGTCGAAATGACAAAGTGGAGATGACTGGTTTAAGGTTATAACATTTATCTATCAACGTAATTATGACAGAGAGAAGAGTAATATGTAGTACGAAGCACTACACAGAGGTATGCCGCTGGCGCCATCTACAATTGATCTCCAAAGTCTAAAACATGAAAATCAATGTATTCTCAACTCCCTCGAGCGGAAATTCAGTGAGAAAATAACATTTCTATTCAGTGCAAAAATTCGGGTCTTTTCGAAGGCCGTTTTTGCAAAAAATATTCGTCTTGCGAAAAAAATGGTAGGGATCATTTTTGTATATAATGATACGATCTTCATTTTTTATCTAAACAAAAATTGTCTAATTTGTATATTTTGGCAGATATTAGCGGGAAACCATTTTTTTGGACTTTAGGGGGCATTTTGAGACCTTTCCGACCCAGCAGTGTTGGTAAAAGTTTTCGCCCTTGAAAGCAACCGTCAAGACCTAAAAATTGAGCCACAAAGGAAATCTGGACCGACTTAATGACAGCTTTGCATATTTTCAGGTCTTCAGTTACTGGACTATAACTTAAATAAAACAATGGTTATCGTAATACGATTAAAATAAAAAGAACATTAATTTCCACGTTGACAACGTATTTATAACCTCGGGTTCATCGTCGTGAAGATGCAAAGCGCTGACTTTGCTGATAAGGCACTCCGGGCAATGAGCGGTGGGTTTCTATCACATTTCTATATTTATAAAAACAATTAAAACTATATATATGAACTATTACATAGTAAATTATGAAGTAAGTAACATTGCAGAAGTAGCCACAGAAATTATGGAAAGAATCAAGGCGTAAATGTTCATATGCTGTGGGTAGAAGAATGGTGGAAGGAAGGTGATAAAAAATTGTTTCTATATTACAACCGGTTACAAAGATATAGACCAGAATTTTTATATAATTAATTATTGATTAAACTGTAACTTTTGAGAAGCATATCAGATAAATATACAGGTTAGCACCCAAGGACCGCTCACATACTTACCAATGACATCAGTTGTAAAACAAGACATAACATCCTTAATATTAACGCAACCAAATTTTGAATTTTGATCCAGAGCCTTCTTTAATCCCAAAGAAACCTCAATAAAACCATCGTGCATCAATTTCAGTTTTCCAGGTGTAAATGCTGATGTCAGTTTACTACGAACTTCCTTCCAACGGGAGCCGTCCAAAAAGAACATATTGGCAGAAGCTGGGTCGACATCTTCATTATAATAGTAACCGTGACTTTGAAAATCCGCGTGTAGCATCGATCTAACTAGTTCTATGTCTATTGGAACAAAAGTTGGAGCACCGGAGAAATAGCAACCAAAGTAGCGCGCACCTTAAATTATAAAAGATGAAGGTTACTTTATATAGTACCTTATGAAAAACATATTTATATAGCAGGAACAACATATGTGATAATATATAATAGACCAATTATAGACAAACAAAACAATAAATATATTAGAATTCAATTAAAATTATATATCATAGAAACCATGCAAATGTAACTAGCTGAGAAGAAAAAGTACATGATTCCCTTATTTGATTTTTTGTGCCATGTTTTTATTTTGCATCGTTGGCGACAATAAGATATTCGGAAAGGCGTTAGGGTTGTGTTTGAATGGAATTTTTTTATTTAAGAGCAATCCAGTCCCTTCTGACGTCACACCGCACGAATTTCACGACCTCCCCTTAAAGTATTTGGAACCTTGTTCGCTACATAAATTTGGCAATGTTGTGTGTCGTACCCTGAAGGGTCCGATTACAATTCAGGTATATTTCGTTGGCTATCGCCGCCTACTGGGGGTTAGTGGCTTGTTAATATACGAATGTAGGAATACTATTTTTAAACCAAACAACTCAAATATTTTTTATTTATTGATATTTATAGATGATATACAGGGTGTCCCGAAATTAGACGGTCATATTTTAACAGCGTAATCTACATCCTAAAATAGTAGTAAAAGTTCATATAAACAGGTCCGAAAACTTTTGTTTTCCGAGATATAGGGTGTTAAAGGTGAAATTCTGATACCACACTTTTGTGAATATTTTCTAAACGTTTAAAGATAATTAGGTAAAATTTGTTACAAATACTTACCTTTTTACGCTTCATTTATTGGACTAAACCCCAGTTATTGATCTTAGGTGATCTTCTTAGGTGGGTAAATTAGGGGGAGCTTAGGGTAAAATTGCCGTGTGTGTCTGTGTGTCTATATCCACCATAACTCATGAACCGATACACAGAAAAACACTAAATTTTAAACTTAAGTTTTATTTCGACCTGACGTGAAATAATTAGATTTTGGACAAAGTCGGAACATCTGGGGGGGTACTTTATGGGAGGCCGTTTTTATATTTTATTGAATATATCTGGTATTTATGTTTGTAGAAGAAAATTATTCAAATCAAAGTTACTTCTAATATTATTATCTATAATTTTTGCTTTATGTCAAAATTTCCTGAAATGGTCCGTATTCGAGAAATTTGACAAAATGTGCAAAATTATAAACTAAACTAAAAGTTGTTTGCAATATCGATCTATATAATTTTTGTTTATACAAAATTTTTCTAAAATGGACCGTAATGGAAAAAATTGTAGGAAAATTGCTAAATTTAAATTTTTCAGTATTTTCGTTTTCAATGAATAACTATAGAAAAATGTTTCGAGGTAGATAGATGTATGTGGAAAATGTATATATTTAGTTTATCCTCTAAACATTTATAGAGGTACTGCAATAAGTTGTACAAAATAACCAGAAAAAGCCTATAATAACTAGATAGGAAAGTCATGTGTTGGACACATCAGATTTTTTGACTATAAAATTTGGAAAACCAATATTTTCTGTATAATAAAACTACATTTGTTGCATCTCGCTAGGATGCGCCATTTTCAAGAGAAAAGCATGTTACCTTATTCGAAAGTGTAAACAATAATTAGTAGGTCTGTAGAATTAGAAATTTTATTTTTTTTTAACTTTGAATAACCGGTAACTAAAGAAATTTTAGAAAATATTTCATCTGGACTTCACTTATAACACCCTGTATCTCGAAAACGAAACGTTTTCGGACCTATGTTTATATAAACTTTTATTCCTATTTTTAACCGACTTCATAAAAGGAGGAGGAAGGTTCTCAATTCGTCGCAATATTTTTTTTATGTATGTTCAGCAATAATTCTTTAACACGGTGTCTGATTTTAATGATTCTTTTTTTGTTAGAAAGGGGGTACCTCAGGGATGGTTCCATATAAATTTGTTTAAGATGTGATGACGGCATCTGCACATTTTTAAAGTCGGTTTTTTTTAATTTTTAATTTCTAATACTTGTATTTTTTATTTATTATAGATACAAACTAGCTACAGCATTGAATATTTTATAAATAATTATCACATACATAAATAATTGGATAATTGCAAATAAGTAAAGTTCTTTTTAGCTAAATGATTTTAGATTTTAGTTATATTTAAATTAATAAAATCTTAAAATATTTATCCTTGTTTAGTTAATATCAATTATTGCAATTTAGATCTATAAAGACCTATCCAATTTAGGTTTTTAAATTCCACCGGAAGTGCGTTAAATATTTTAGGACCGAGGTATAAAACAGTATTAGTTTCGAAAGCAAATATAATTATTATCACAGTATAACACTAATTCGTGATTCGTATCCGTGATCCGAAAAAAAGGATTTGAATCACTTGATTCGAATCCTTTTTTTTTTTTTTTTTTTTTGAAAAAGGATTCGAACATTGGATCCGTGATTCAAATCACATCTCGTGACTCGGATTTGTAATTCGAATCCATTTTTCGAGGATTCGTCCCAGCTCTGGGTGACAGCATCTGCACGTTTTTGAATTCGGTTTTTTTTTTAATTTTTAATTTCTAATACTTGTAGTATGTAGATTACGCTGTTAAAATATGACCGTCTAATTTCGGGACACCCTGTATATTGGAAACTCGAAATAATAGTTATGACGTAGCGGTGTTTTTCTAATTGTAATCGGACCCTAGGTATATGGATACGGAAAATGATTATTAAATTAAGAAAATAACTATTAAAACACGAAATGTTAATTTTTTCTCATTTACAACACAAAATATACAATACTGTTGAATCAAAATTTTCTCTTAGCAGCAGGTGGTTTTTGTGACGCGACAATTATGATGCTTTGTATCTCATGAATTAAAGTTAATTCTCTTTTAATCTTAAGGTGTTCATACCCCTTATAATTATCGGACAAGAATGTCTCAAAATATTTAAATTTTGGCAAAATAAATCAGGCAACAATATCTATAATATGCATATATTTTAATGTTTTAATTCCTTCCAGTTTCCCAAAAAAACTAAAAGGGCTTTAATTTTGAAATATCATAATGAAAATAAATGCATTCCTCTCGACAGCACTATTCCTAATATAATCCCCAAATTTAAGCCCCTAATGTCTTGTTAATGATTTCTTAAAATTCGCCAAAATTAGTGGCTAAAACGCTTCTGGTGTAAACTGGTGTAAATTATTGCAAGAAACGAATATTGACAGAGTGTACGATACGATAGTTACAAGCCCGTTACACTGTTTTCCACTCAATTTATTTAAAAAATAATAATAATAAATTAGGGTGTTAATTTTTTTTTCTCTGAAGCTATTGGTTTTGGGAAAAAAATTCAAGAATAAAAAAAAATTAAATAAATCAAGGATTTCATAAAAGTTCATCTCGAAGAAAAGTTTTGATATGAAATAAAGTAAGTGTTGCTAATTTCACCCCCCTACAATGTAACAGAAATATTGAAAAAATACCCGTGGTTAGTCCTTTGAGATTACAGAATTTCAAGTTTCTAGCTTTACTGAAATTTTAGAAAAAAATAGTAACTCAATTTTAGTCACCACTTTTTAAGGGTGATATCTCGAAAAGGGGTGGGCTGAGGAAATTTTGTTATAGAAAAGACCCATCTTAATTTCATACGAGCACTCAGTTCCTGAATTTTGTTGCATGTATTTAGAAACACCCTGTATATTACACATTTTTTAACCATGCAAAATTCTTGACAATCTCTTTTCCCTAATTGGCACATGTCGTATTTTTCTAGGATTTACTAACTCTGGCAGCAAACAAATAAAATAGAAATTTGTCAGCTGTGCATTTTTGCCTTCCAGAATTTTTCATTTCATAAATTAACTAAAAACTAAATTAAACAAAAACCTAACAACGCCTCAACAACAAACTAAGACGATCACAATAATTTCGCACCTCTTCAAAAACAACTACCTATTTTTCGACACAGGAATTAACAAATTTAACTAAACGGCAGCTACCCTTTTAACCACGGGCTTCAAAGACTAGCAGCGTTGCCATATTCACTGGTATCATTGTTTTAATAGAATTAGTATCGGAATGAAAACTATGTTAATCTTCGGTCCTGTTTAAAATTGGTAATCTTTTTGAAAAACAGTTATTTAGAAATTAGTTAAGATATTTGTTATAGAATGCCGGTAAAGAGCCAAAAAATTAAATTTATTAAAAAGTTGAAATTTTTGTTGTTTTTCTTTAAAACTATAAGTTTTTCGCGGTTTAGCGAAATTCTTGGTTCATTTTTACAACGATTGGCCTGAACCATTTTTTTTACAATTTTTTTTAACTGCCTCAAATGTAAAATTGATTTTTGGCGGAGGAGCGCCCGTCATGTTTGCTCTTAAGTTTGAATTTTGGTTTTTGAAAAGAATTGTCATTAGGTTTTGGCTTAGATAACACTCAGCAAACAACACGAAATAATTATCCTTAAGAAATAATTATCCTTAAGAAATAAGGGACCATAGAAGGCAATTGTATCAGACCAGAGTTACATCAGATAATACTAAACGCCACCCAGCAGTTAAAAAGAGAGATAAAACGAATCAAAAATGAATCTATTCGTGAGTACCTTATTGAGTTGACAAACGATAAAGCCACTGATTATTATCTATGGAAAGCCACAAAGCGATTGAAAAGGCCCCCCCACTGTGCAGAATGCTCTAATCAGGAAAACAGATGGCAACTGGGCTAGAACTAACATACAAAAAGTAAATAAATTTGCAAAGTTCTTACAAAAATCATTCCAACCATTGACATTTATTTTTACAAAGTAAGGTAACTGTCAAATAAGCAGTGGCAAGCTATCAAAAAAGTGTCTATTAGCGTTTCCGACTGGTCACACTCAGTTCACACTCGTAAAGTGCGAGTTTTCGTTGATTAGCACTGGTTTAATTTATTGACGTCATACAAACTTAATTCAACCGAAAACGCAGTTGACCACCAGTGCATTGTATTATATTTGACAGTTGTCATTTGAGTAATAAA